GAAGCAGCCAAACAAGGGTTACAAGAACAGCCAGTATTGATAACAAGGGACATCATTCCCACGACACTGCTCCCATGACACTGCACCCAGGAGAATCATGGAGGAATGCATTGTTTATGGCATGACCACGGGGTCTATATTCCATGCAGGCAACAGCACAGATGACTTGTCAGTGGAAAATCCTGCACTCACACGCCAGCAAGTTTGCAGCTACATTTTTGGTGTCATTCCTTTTTTTCTGCTACTGTAGCAGGAAAAGAGAACTATCCTTCCTGCAGTAACAGGCTGTTTGAACACAAGAGGCTCTTCTATGAGGAGGCACGAATAATTGCCATGCTTATTTCAGTGGTGGTTCCCCCTCATGGTCTGAACTCTTCTTCACTAGGCACTATGCAGACATGGGACAGCTATACTATCACCTTGAACCACAGGTCCCCCATGAGGGTGTTTGTATTCAGTCATGAGGAACATGCATGGGGCACATGAGGCTCTGCCCCATCCTGCTTCACTGCCCATGCTGGCAGGGCCCCTTCAACTGTGTTCAGATCAAGCCTTGAGAACATGCAGAACTCCCCAAAGCAGAGGCATCCATCTCAACCAGAGCCCCCCTGCCCTGTCCCTAGCAAGAGGTGGGCCAAGCCATCTCTGCAACAGCATCAGGGGAACATAAGCAGAACCATTTGCAATTTTGCTTTCCATTCAGTTGCTTAAGTTAGTTAATGTCTTCACTAAATGATAAAGCTTTTTCCTTCAGGCAACTAGTTTCTGTGGAAAGTGTTACCTTATTGAAAGCCAATATTTCTTAACCAGCTGCCACTTGGGTTAAGACGTTGCTTGAAGGGAGAGACTGAAATACTGATCTGTGGAAAGGCAGTGCAGTGCTCTGTGCCTTAGCTTTGACATGCAGATTATTTCTATAAAAAAGAAGTTCTATATTGTAGATCAAATGCTAACCTGTCAATAAACTGAACTAGGGGAAAAAAGCCCCACTACTCTCAATCTATGTAACCGACCAAGGGATTAAGGTGTTGTGTATGCTGCTCTGGTATGGAGCACTAAATAAAGAGAGAGCTAGAACAATCCGGATTTTATAGCAAAAATTAAAATCAGTTCAACATATATAGATTGTATTTTCATTTAAGACTGTACTCCACTTTCTCTGTAATCTTTCCCTTGAATTTTTCCCATTGATGCATATTGATGCATGCGTTGATACATCTGAAAGAATTTTAGCTTGGTGCTCAAGGGCAAGTTCCTCTGCTGACTCACAGGCTTCCTGTGTTAAGAAGGAATATTGCTTTACAAACATCTTTCACATCATTATTTTATATGAAAGATATTTGTCTTTCTTTATAGAAAAGTGATAACTTTTAGTCAGCCTTTTCCACTACTTTGAATGCTTAAAAGGAAAACAAAGTGAAAACAAGTACAATCTCAGAATCGTAGAATGGTTTGGGTTGGAAAGGACCTTAAGATCATCCAGTTCCAACCCCCCTGCCGTGGGCAGGGACACCTCACACTAAACCATGGCACTCAAGGCTCTGTCCAACCTGGACTTGAACACCGCCAGGGATGGAGCATTCACAACTTCCCTGGGCAAACCATTTCAGTGCCTCACCACCCTAATAGGAAAGAACTTCTTCCTTATATCCAACCTAAACTTCCCCTGTTTAAGTTTGAACCCGTTACTCCTTGTCCTATCACTGCAGTCCCTAATGAAGAGTCCCTCCCCAGCATGTCTATAGCCCCCCTTCAGATACTGGAAGGCTGCTATGAGGTCTCCACACAGCCTTCTCTTCTCCAGGCTGAACAGCCCCAACTTGCTCAGCCTATCTTCATATCTTCTTCTTTCCCCTCCAATTCCAACACATACAGTCATTCATAGAAACTATTCTGTATCGCATTCTAGTTTCAGAGGAATTGGTATCATCCTTTACCAGGAAAATAGTTACAGCTCAAAACACATTCAGAAGTTCATTGAACAATGTCACTCTATATATGTAATCAGTACCTGACCTTTTAAATGAAGTGATGGGCATTAGAGTGAGAAACCTGACAATGGCTATGAAAAGAAAACATTTTTATTTGGCATTAATTCGCAGAATAGATGTTGCCTGAATTTACCTGGTTTACATCTCTTTCAGGAAAATGGTAAAGACAGTATCAGAAAGAATACTCTTTCTCTTTTTTTTTAATTATTATGTTTTCTTTGATTATACTTAAAGAAATCCTAAACATTCTATTTCTCTTACTCTTAGTTCATTTCAGCTTTGGTAATATTAGATAAAACCATTTAATTTGACATAATATATTGCTTATTAGATAGTAGTTGCAATTTTTTACTATTGTTTCTGAATTCTTATATAAAGGAAGCTTTGCTTGTATGCTTAGGATCTGGAAACACTGACAACTATAGCTATGTGACCAGCAAGTGCTCTAATCCACAAGGAGACCATGAATTACAGATGGAAAGTATTATATTAGACTTCATATTTATTTATAAATTCCTGGAGAAAGCATGTGGAAAATCATACATTTTAAAGGTACTGACATAATTCCATTATATTTGTCATATATTACATTTATTATTTAGTCAAACTACTGTAATTATAGAGCATCTAGACTAAACTGTGGCTCAATCCCCAACAGGCATTTCCAGTAAAACAAACAATGACAATAATAAGAATAATTTTCCTTCAAATGAGTTCTTGAAAAGCTGTAAATATGAAACAGCCATTCTGCATAGAAAAAAAATTGCTTTGGAGAAGTGTTTATTCCTTTTTAATAACCTGAAAATGTGCCTTCCTGGGTATTAACAAGACATTAGTGGGTAAAACATAAAATCATTTCTTATGTTTGTAGGGGGGGATGCGGTGATGATGATAATAGGAGGAATATGGACTAATGCATATATTCAAGATGTCACTTTAAACAATAGAATTGTATAAAGCATTACTTATAGGGAGTAACACTATATATAAATGCCTTATATATAAATAAATAGCTATTTGCCTAAAAAGATATTACTAAAAATTAACCAACTATTTGACATGCCAATCAATAAGCGAAGAAGACTTCCACTTATGCAAAAAGCCAAATCCCATTTTTTAGGATAGATCTAAGAATAATCATCATCTTCTTCACCTCTTAACATGTACACACCAGCCTGATGATCTACTGGATGCCACTTGTCCCCGCACGGGTTTCTGTTCTTTACAAACAATACTTTTCTGTGTAGTAACTTGCTTTCCTATCTGACCCTCCTGTGTCTGAGTAGCTGACAGCTTCGCTTTCCCACCATGTGTTGCAGTAGCAAGGCAAAACCTATCTCGAGATAAATATCATCTTACCTCTGGCACTTGTTTCTGGTTCATAATTGCTGTAATGTTAGCCATAGGACATCCAATTTTAACCCAGTATCATCAAAAATTATGTAATGTTATGAAAATATGAATGCTGTATTATTTAGGCAGATTTAAATGCTTTTCCAAGTAGTATCTCTGTCTCTCATGGCTCCCCACAGCAGCTATGTGACTGTCTCTCACAGCTCCTGCCCTGACACTGCGGGTCCTGCTGGTGTTATTGACCATACCTTCACTTGTTGCCTTCACACTGCTCTTCCCCTATCAGTCCTAACCCAGAATCTTCCCATTCTAACCCAAAATCTTCCAGTCCATTTCATGCTCTACTTTTACCTCATTTTAATTCATGTCTCCCGTACCCATCGCTCCTGACTTGATTCCCACATATATTTCCCAGCAAGATCCAAAGGACCAAAAAAGCTCCCTAAAAGCCCCCCTTCAGACACTGGAAGCTGCTCTGAGGTCTCTCTTTCTCAGCCTATTATCATATAGGAGGTGATTCAGGCTTTGAAACACAAATGTGCATCACTGTGATGGTTGTTACCACAACCAGCATCCTTAGTCTTTTCTTCTCTCCATGTATTTCAGTCACACACAGGTCAGAGTTTTCATGCTTGAAGAGGCAGAAAAAGCAATACCAGGTAAGAGTTTTTAAAACTGCTTTTGAATTCCTAGCTGACAAATATGTATCCTGGTTAGTGCCATAGGAACAGTGCTCCTCCTGCCTGTCAGGAAATGTCCAACTCCTCTACTGGAAAACCCACTTGTGGTTTTCCAACTGTCTTGTCCAAAATCATACGAATAAGGACATGGAACTGTTGGAACAAGTCCAGAGGAGGCCACGAGGATGATCAGGGGACTGGAGCACCTCCTGTGTGAAGACAGGCTGAGGAAGGTGGGGCTGTTCAGCCTGGAGAAGAGAAGGCTGCGTGAAGACCCATAGCAGCCTTCCAGTATCTGAAGGGGGCCTATAGGGATGCTGGGGAGGGACTCTTCATTAGGGACTGTAGTGACAGGACAAGGGGTAACGGGTTCAAACTTAAACAGGGGAAGTTTAGATTGGATATAAGGAGGAAGTTCTTTACTGTGAGGGTGCTGAGGCACTGGAATGGATTGCCCAGGGAAGCTGTGAATGCTCCATCCCTGGCAGTGTTCAAGGCCAGGTTGGTCAGAGCCTTGGGTGCCATGGTTTAGTGTGAGGTGTCCCTGCCCATGGCAGGGGGGTTGGAACTGGATGATCTTAAGGTCCTTTCCAACCCTAACTATTCCGTGATTCTATATGCCAGTAAGTTTTAACTCCATTCTGTCACATTTATCTTTTAAATGTGTTTACTTGAGGTTATAGTATCTGAGATGATGCTCAAGGCTCATTCTTTTCTAGCTTTTTATTAAATGAGACTTGTCAGTCCACAGGTCAGGATAGTGTCCATGGCTAAGCAGAAGCACAGTTGCGACATGACTGTAGACAGATATACCCACCAGTCAGTTTAACCAGAGACTAATGGTGTTGATCTCAGCTTAAATGAGGCGTTTGAGCCCATAAGCAGGTTTGTAGGGAAGCCCCAGGTTAAACTGATCAGGGCAATTAAAGCCTATTAGTGCACTCAGCCACCTGAGAGCAGGAGATAAATGGTGTTGGGAAGGTTGCTGTTCTTTAGTATTAGTGTGGTTTGGAACAGGCTTGGCTTGGTTCTGCAGCAAGGTCCTGGTATAACCAGTGGGTAAGTGCCACAGCGTTTCATGAATTGGTAAATGATCTGCTTAGGTAGCTGATTAACTATAATGTTTTGTCCTGCTAGTATTTTATACACCTATCAATCTTACTTATTTTGACTTTTATATGTCAAGCTACTTGATGGAAGAAGCTTCTGCTTTTCTTTAAAGTCCTTTGTTTTGATGTATGTGTATGATGGCTGCTTCTATTATCCAGTTGTCTTTAAGAGCATCTTTTCTGCTACTTTAACTTAGAGTTATTTCCTTTCATATCATTGTTCTGTGGGATTGTAATGATTAAATCTAGTTATGTTTGTGCATAATACATTTAAATTGGAAGAAATATAATTTGAGAGACCGTGTACACAGGGATGTTCATTTTTATTATTATTGTCTCTTGACTTTCAATCTTCCATTTCTGATATACTTAATTGTTCTTTCATATGGCAGTCTTGGAGAAAATTTTCTCTATTGGGCTTAGCCAAAAGGAGTTACAAATCTTACACTTTTTAGGAAGATGCACTGTCATCTTATTTTAGAGATTCAGAAATGATTTTATAGCAGAAAACAGTGCAAATCTGGCTCAAAGCCCTTCAGCTTCTAAATCTCAATGGTTTTTCACTGTCTTATATTTTGCTAGTTTGTATGGATCCAATTGACAAACTTACATTTGGATGTTGCTAATTAGATTTCTGAACACATTCGGATTTATCTCAGTTGTAAGTTGCTATTTAATGTGGGATGAGAATGTAGGCCTGTGGATTAGAAGTTTTAAGACATAGAAACCCACATTCAGCACTGAGTTTTGCCTGCAAATTCAGGGTTCTGTTATGTGGGAGGCATAAAAGAAGCTGTTTACATGAAAATGCAGAGCTGCATGAGACACCAAGACTTGAATTATGCAAGATGTTGCAGGTTAGGCTTGAGATATATTACTAGAATCTGAAATGAGACTCATTCATGGGAAGTGCAACGTAGAATGCCCCAAAGTGAGAAAGCTCCTGGAGTTAAAATAACTGTTGGTAGGAATGCAGATGTGCAAGAGAGATTAAAATACTCCTTTCTGAATGAAATGTAGTTTTAGTTTTCACCAGTAGTAAAATCATCAATTATATTTTAAAAACAACATAAGTAACCCAGTAAGTTTGATCTGATTTTAATCCTGCCTCTTTTCACAAGATATTTTGACAGATGCAGCCCTAAGCGTGTTTGATACAGTAAGACTCGGGCTCCTTTTTGACTTGATTCTAGAAAACATTGTTATTATTTTTAACCAGAGTATGGGTGATATTTAACACAAATTTGGAATTGGGTTTTTTTGTACCTAAGCAGTGCACAGGTCTCAGCTGATGGGCAGCAACACTTCAGTTCAAAGAGTTCCAAAGACCGTAATTGCCAGTAATGTTTCTTTCTAGCATCTGTGTTTGTTGGCTAAGTGCATGCTAAACTAGATATCCTTAGTAAATACATACACAGCATTGGTTTGAAGGGAGATGTTTAGAAAATATCATGTAAATGGAAGAGGAGTGCCATTCTATTTAAACTCACCGCTATTACCCCCAAATTTTTTGTTACGCTCTCTATAAATTAAAACATCACTACCAATAAATACCTTTGCAAAACAAAGCATTTTCTTAGTTTGCTTAGGTATGAAGTATGTATCAGATTCTGTTTCTACCAATTTCTCTTAGGGTGGCCTACACCTAGATTTCACACAATAGAATTGTAGAATAATTAGAGGTGGAAAAGACCTTACTATCATCCAGTTCCAGCCCCCTGCCATGGGTAGGGATGCCTCATCCTAGACCATGTCACACCAACCTGGCCTTGAACATAATAATGAGTCTTACCCCAACTATCCTGTAAGAAAATCTATTTCAAGAGTGATAATAGTGTTCAAGTGGTTTTCAAAACTGAAGAAACCAGTCCCTTCCTTGCAGGGCATACAGTTCTTTTCTCCCTAGAATAGTATTAGGACAGGGCTATCCCAATGTGTTAGTAGAGGGTCAAAGTCAACTGTGTCAAATGAGATAGACTTATAAGTTACAGCAATTTCATAATCCACACGTGTTTCCATTGAAATTAGTTGTATAATGAAATGTTGGTACTTTCTGTTACTGTGGCCAATCCAGTCTGTAATCACAAAATAAGAGGCTATTTCAGATAGATAATTTATTCAGAACATTATTCTCCTTCTGTTCACAAAATGCTTGGAAAATTATCACATAATTTTATTGCCTGAGTTTGTAAATTTATTTGGAAAATATTTTCCCTGTGTGAATATTTTATGAACGATTTGTTGGGGATATTCATGATTCAAATTACAGTATTAATTCAGTGCTTAAGTAGTACAGTGCCTAAGGAGTACAGTTCCTGCATTGTAATTGTGATTTGTGCTACTTAACCAGCCATTTCCCATTTAGAATATAAAGTGTGAATAATCACATTCAAATATATAGTTTGGGACTGTTTAAGCTTTCACATTTAGATTTATTTTTGCAAGTTAAAGTAAGGTTTGGTTTTTTTGAAAGTCCAATGAATATTAGTGGACTTTTTTCCTCCAGTGCTTACTCAGCTCTAGGAACTGCATTTTGCTGACCTAGAACTTCCCTGCAGTTTCAGTTGAGTGCAGCCTTCTCCCTTCACTTCATCTAGACTATTTTCTAAAGTTCCTGTGGGCTGGGAAGGATTTGTCACTGTGCACTGCAGATATCCTCATTCCAGTGCAAGCTGTTAATCCAGCGCAGCCCTTTGGGATACACTGGTGAAAGATACCCCAGATGTAAGGTGTTTTTTTTTTCCCTATGTTGTTTCCAAAGTATATGGAGACTCTTCTTTAACCCAGCAATGTATTGCTTAAAATTAGGCATCTAAGTATGTATTTATATGGTTGAATATGAATATTTTTTTACAGCTCTAAATTGTCTTCTGGCCCTTTTAAAGTTGGTGACAGTTACATACATGTGTAACACAAACTAAAATAAATGCAATATCAAGCTGTGATATCTATACATTTAGATCTAGCGTGACTCTGTCTTTTTCCCCTAGCTGTCGATTCAACATTTCCTTCATTTCCAGGTGCTGTGAAGCTTAACTAATTGTTTCTGAACCACATTGAGATAATCAAGACAAAAGTAGCTACACAAGTGCAAAGCAGTTTCTATAAATACTGAGCAGGGGCAGAAGCAGTGTTATCTACAAGTGTTCACAGATTTCTAAGCTTCTTTTAAACCTGTAGGTTGTTAGTGTCTGAAAACACATTTGTTCTTGGTGGTTATAGGTGGGACATACAGAATATCAGGGAAGGTTTTTCACTGAAGATGTGGCTTCCTGGGTGATAAAATGCCTCATTGCAGGGCAGCATTGCTGATTTAATGTTTCTGTGAAGTTCAGAAACCCACTTCTTTCATGTGGGGAATCTGATATTAGCAATGTGTTGAAGTTCTCATGGCAGTGTCATGGCAAGAGTGATGAGAATCAATAGGGAAGGCAAAGGAAGGCATGTGGGATTACTTGGTCAACCATGACTCAATTTTCTGTGGGGGTGACTGAGCATTGGCACAGGTTGCCCAAACAGGTTGTGGAGTAACTGTCTTTGGAGATCTTAAACTGACTGGATGTAGTTCTGGGCAAGCAGCTGGTCCAAGGGTCTTGGACCAGATAATCCTGAGAGGTCTCTTCCAATGTCAAACCATTCTGCAGGTGTAGGGGAGGGAGCAGTGTGCTGAGATAAAGAATCTGGTGGTTGTACTTTAAACGGAAGATGTAGTGAAAAGTGTATAATTGGGAGGGAGAAAGAGTTTCGGAGTTGAAGAACACCTGAAATATCTTAGGACACAGAATAATGCCCAGGAACTGAAAATGTACTCTATCTCTGAATAACATGATTTGGAGTTATTGATTACTTCACACTGGAAATCTTGGCAGCAAGAGCATCAGAGTATTATCAGCACTGCTGTAGAGTAACAGATGAAATAATGGTTTGTTTTTTTTTAATCCTTAATCAAAATCTCTTCTTTCTCTGGCAGTCTCAATTGACACATTATCTGTCTCTTCTTGTCATTTGGAAGGATCATGTCATATTGATGAAAGGGCTGTTTATGAATCTCACATATTTACAGGGGAGCAGGGCATGATGCCAAGAGTATTTTTCTCTCCACGCGAATGCTTGATTTGACTTCTTCCAATTGTTTTATTATTGATTTGATGACTGCGGGAGCAATTTCTCTCTGTAATGTGTTCTGCAAGTAGAGAAGTTTGAGTACTTTGCTCCTGGACATGTAGGAATATGCCAGCTTTTTACTGGCAAGATCCATCTCTTCCTTTTCCAGAGACAAGCCTAGTCTTAGTGCGAGGATTCTACAAAGTCTGAAAAGGATCAGTTCTGTGAGGAAGAGCAGCTATCTCAAACTCAATTTGGGCACAGCTGAAGTGGCACTATCCAACATACCCAGTATCTCAAATCACTTTACACACAGCTTCTCCTCAAATGTTTGCTGAAATCCCTTACTAAGTCTCACGCCCTTTATAAGAGTATTATAAGGAAGTTAAAGCAATAGACTAAGAAGAACTGACATCCAATAACTGATTATTATGGTAATAGAGATTAATCCATAAAGTTCACTGCATCTCTAACTCACCTGTTCAGCACTGAATATCTCTTTACCACAGTTCATACAACACTGGTCTCACGCTGGAGTTCTCCAGTATGGCCTTAAATCTGTTTTGGCATTCCATGGTTCTAGACACTTTACTTCTTTTAGGGATTAATTACACAATATACTAGCTTTCACTATTTCATTGTAGTTGTTGTTGCTGCACACTTGTGATTTTTCTTCTTGTAAGTGCATTTTTATGCAGATCAGACTTCTCTGGCAGTGTTTTACTGCCAATAACCATTTTAGATGACAGATTACACAGTTGTTTAGCATGATCTTTGGAGAATTCATGGAAATTTTTCATATTTATAGAAGAAATGTACAGAACACCAACAGTTGACAATAAAATG